CCTGACTGTATGTGTATCCTGTCAGCACATAAACTGATCTATTTTAAGGTCAAGAGCAGGGTGCAGCCCAACAGAATTGCAGAAGCAAAATGTGTTTGCTTTTGCAGTTGGCTTTTTAAATACATTTTCTTTAATAACTGGAGCCCTGGTGAACATCTGGCATCCTAAATTAGGTCTTTGACATTTGAAAAAATCTCAGGTAACAGAGTAAATGGTTCAGGCTCTGTGGCCAGAAGTCTCCTGGTCTCTGACATCCAGGCTGTTCCTCTTCACCTGGTTCTTCTTTTTAATAAACTTGCTGGAAGGAGCTCCAGAGAAAAGGGGACAGTCCTGATCAACTCTGGCCAAGCAAACGGAGCAAAAGACGAGTAGGTCTAGCAGAAGTTGGTGGCCACAAATCCAGCAGCCCCCTGCAGACAAAGTCCTTAGCTAGTCAGCCTGATGTGAGTGTTCTGCATACCTCATGAACAGCCTCTGCAAGAGGATCATGGGAGTTCTGGAGCCCTGTGTCCACCTGAGGGTATAACACTCCCACCCCTCCACCAAAGCTTCCCATGCAAGTCGAGTTCAAATGCCCACCAATTGCAGCGCGGTCACTCCCAGCTCTGGCATGCTAAGTGGCCTTGAGTAAGTTACTTAACTTCTCCATTCGTCTGTCTTTTTATCTGTAAGATGAGCATGATAATAACACAAGTGACCTTATGGGGTTGTGATAGGATACAATGAGACAATACATGCAAGGAGCTTGAAGAGTTCGGGGCACACTGAGCGCCATGCAAGTGTGCACGGTTCTTCCTTGTCTTGGGTGTGGAGATAATGGGGAAGAGAGAATTGATTGCACACATTCTGTGTGTCAGGGAGCTTCCGCGGACGATCTCCAATGCTTCCTATAATCCCTTAAGAAAGGGACCATCACTAAAGTTTACGGATAGGACACCAAGTCTCACAGAGGATCAATAATTTTCCCTGAGGTCACAGGGTTTGGAGACAAGTGTCAAGGTTTGAACTCACATAACCCTGACTTCAAAATCTATTATCTGAGTCATTCCACACCTCCTTCCTAAACCACAGCTGGCCTGAATTACGTGTAACACCTGCTCTGGTGACTAAACTGCAGCCGTGGAGGCAGGAGCTGGGAAGCTGGACAGTGCTCACTCATGACTCCCAGGATGGGTCTTTTCTAGTATTCACAGTTCCAGTTGGTGGCCCAGTGTGGAGTGGCCAGGGACTGAAAAGTGAGAACAAAACTAGAAGAGGAGATGGGATCTTTAGGGCCTGGCAGGGATGGACACACTCCAGCAGAAACATTCCTGTGTTTGTGGCCTGGCCTTTCACCTGTCTTCCAGGAAAACTGGCCCCTGGCACAGTGACATGCGTGAGGAGGCTCCTGGTAAAGTCACTCCCTGTGACCGAGCCACCTCCCTGGGCTGGCCCTCATACCTGTCATCTCGTGTACTCTCTACAGGAACTAATGACGATGATTATGCATTTTATAGAGAGGTCACTGAAGCCTATTAAAGTGAGACAAGTTGCTCCAAGCCACACAGCAGAGGAAGATTCAACCTGAGTCTGATTCTAAGTCTCTCATTTTCTATGACAGCTCCCTTCATGATAGCAAGCATTGATGCTGCTCGTATAATAGATAATATGTGATGCAGCACTTGCCAAGGCTGGGCTTCTCCCAGGGACAAACCCAGGGACAATAACCTATGGACTATTTCATTTTCTTTATTTTTTTGAGATGGAGTCTTGCCCTGTCACCCAGGCTGGAGTGCAGTGGCACGATCTCAGCTCACTGCAACCTCTGCCTCCCAGGTTCAAGCAATTCTCCTATCTCAGCCTCCCAAGTAGCTGGGACTACAGGTGCAAGACACCACACCTGGCTAATTTTTGTAATTTTAGTAGAGACAGGGTTTCACCATATTGGTCAGGCTTTGGTCAGGCTGGTCTCAAACTCCTGACCTTAGGTGACCTACCTGCCTTGGCCTCCCAAACTGCTGGGATTAGAGTCTTGAGCCAGCATACCTGGTCATAGTGTCCCTGAGAGGAACAAGAGGAAACTGAGGGTGCTGGGTTCTAGGAGGAAAGAGCATATGAAAGCACAGGAGAGAGGGAGACAGATAAGTTGAGGAAGAGGAGAAAGGCAAGGAGAAAGAAGGGAATTAGGGAAACAGAAGGAATACATAGACCATGGGAATGAGTGAGAGATAACAAGAGCCTAACACAGCCTACTTGCAAAAGACAATATGGGCCTCTGTACCTGACACCTACCCTGTTCCTGCACCCAATGCTCCAGGAGCTGCATGGTCATCCCTGGAGAGAAGGTAATCTCCCATCCTGGGAAGGCACTGCGCTGGCACCAGGAGCTCACAGGAACAGTAACAGCCACAGATAGGCACACACTTGACCTAGGAATCCCAGTATATTACTTCAGTCTCTGGCAGCTGGAATGCAAAACCTTCTTGCAATCCATGAGATTATGCGAGAGAAGGAAATGTGGCAGTTTGTGAGATGCATTTTAGGAAACATATGGAATAACTTCTCAGAGTGTGAGGTTACCATTTCCTTTTTTTTTTTTTTTTTTTTTTTGAGATGGAGTCTCTCTCTGTCACCCAGGCTGGAGTGCAGTGGTGTGATCTTGGCTCACTGCAATCTCTGTCTCCCAGGTTCAAGTGATTCTATAGCCTCAGCCTCCCAAGTAGCTGGGATTACAGGTGGGTGCTACCACACCTGGCTAATTTTTGTATTTTTAGTACAGACAGGGTTTGGCCACGTTTGCCAGGCTGGTCTCAAACTCCTGACCTCAGGTGATCCACACTCATCAGTCTTCCGAAGTGCTGGGATTACAGGCGTGAGCCACCCCACCTGGCCGCCACTGGCCAGGGAGGTCCTCTGACATCATCTTCATTGCAGAGAGCAAGGAGCCAAAAGGTGAAGGAGCCAGAAGGTCACTGAGCTGGGCCTCTGGTCTCATTGAGACTTTAAGAATGAGGGGAGAGGAGTAGCCACAGGGTTGTCCTTTATGTTCTTGCCACTCATGTCTAGGCCTTGTTTTCCCCATTTGCCAAATGGAAATAATAATGCCTTGCTTCCCTTTTTTACAGGGAGTTGTGAAAAAAGTAAGTCAATGAGTGTGCAACACTCTGAATTCATTAACACAGGCATTATCATTGTCGATATGCTGACAAGTTAAACATCCATCCAAAGGCCAAGTCAGATTCCCAAAACAGAACTTTCTTTATTTGCAGTTTCAAAGACCAGAAATAGCAAGAACTTTCTCCATTATAAAGTATTTCCAGAATGTTCTAACGAGCATGAGCCAATGATGAGCATCAGTTGTTTTTGTCTGCTCAACATATGCTCTTCTTGTTTTCTATAACAGCAGTTCATTTTACATTAGAAAATGCTTTCAACATAGGTAGAAATGTTAGTTCAGTTTCACCCCAACCCATAGGCCAAGCGGATCCTCTCTTCCCAGAAATTTCAATCTCGGTGGAGCCACACAAGGATATAAATCAATTGCCCCAGTACATGCCTTCCTCTGGGCTACTTGTGTGTGCTTTCATGCATTTCTCTTTTGCTCAAGTCAGCTGAGATCTGGTTAGTTTCTGTTGCTTGCAGTCAGAGATCCCAACCTGAGGGCCCTACTTTGTCCTTCCCCTAAGGACTCAGAGACCGGGAAGCTCAGGAGAGAAACAGGAACTGTGGAAAAATTTCCCAGATGATGGGGAGACTTGGGGTCAGGGAGATGAAGCAGCCCAGTGCAGAAGTAGATCAAATCAGATCAGAACCCAGGAAAGAACCTGCAAACACTGGCTGATGTGGTGAGGACATAATACACTTAAACAGGCCATAGGGATTGGGTCTTCCTCCTAGCCCCTACCTTGAGCCCTCCTCTCTGTGACACCAAGCTAGGCCCTATCATGCCTAGATTTGCTAGGGCTCCTGTTTTTCCCTCTGGCTCACATTTCTATGTTTGATCTTGATTAGGGCAATGAAAGGCTCTGGGATTCGCTTGTCTAACTCCCTCATTGTCTTCAGATAGAGAAAATGAGGACCAAAGACGATAGGAGTCTTTTGGTCCTTTGTAAGTTGCTTTTTGTTTCTATCTGAGCTTATCCCACAAATAGCTTAAGAACCGGAAGAGCTCCTTCTAGGGAGGGTAAGGCACTGGCAGGACCTCACCACCACTGCTCATACCCAGATGGAGATCAGGAATGGTTTCTACAGTGGCCTAGCTTGAGAGTGAAGTCACTGAGGGGCCTGCAGGGTTGGCAAGGTCACTGGTCATTCCCACTAACTGTACTTTTGGCAGATCTGCTTTCTGCTGGGCAAGGGTCAGGCTTCTCAGTGTTTCTCAAGATAAGGCCCAGAGAGGCAACATAAATCATGAAAGGGCTAGTTGTGAGCTCTTCACACAATTGCTACCATCTTGCTGGAAGTTGAAGGGCAGCACAGCCATACCTCATACATGGTAGCTTATTTTTGGCTCATGAAAGGCCCCAGATATGCAGGCTCCTGAGCAGAGACTTGGGGCTTACGGAGGAAGAACTGTTCACTGGCAATGATGGACCACAGGTGGTCCCTTTATGGCCCAGAGAGGTCCTTTGGACACTCACATAGTGCACTAAGGAGATGGAACTCAGCCACCCAACCTGCAAATTGGGGAGCAAGTGACCTCACTCATGTGGCATGGGGCTTGGTGACCCCTGCCAGGTCCCCCAGTAGCTCCCCATTCAATCACCTTTGGCCCTGTTGAGAGGTCTTTGTTAGTCCTGATATTTTTCTTGCTTGTCCTTTGCTAGGAGTGATAAAAATGCCCTAAGAAACTTCACATTAACAAAGTTGTGTTTTAAGGCTTAAACGAACTAACAGAAAGGATAAACAGGTTTGTGGGCTGGAGGAGCTTCAGATTTATAATAGCAATGTCATTTGTTTGCAGTAGAAATGTCGGTGATAAAGATCTTTTAAATAGCTCTGCGTGTTGTTTGTTATTCTAGGTAAAATTACTCAGCTGGATGATGAAAATGGTGAAAACACACTGAAACATGACTGAGCAGACTTTGAAGTGTCCAATACAGCAGGGCGTTTTGGGATCACCTAATAAATGGCAGTGCAGTTCCCAACCCCAAACAGAAGAGTATGTGAAGCCTCAGCACCCTCATCAGGCCACGTAGGAGCCAACTGTGGTGGCACCATGCATGTAACTGGCTTCAACCAAGTGACCACCACCCTGTATCCTTTCGTCATGGAGAAAATGTCTCCCTCTGCCTTCAGCACTAAGTTGAGTTCAGCTTCCTTGCCCACTGTCACTTTAACCAAGCTGGAGGAGGCACTGCTCCAGCACCCTCCTGCTCCAAGATCCAGACCCAGACGCTGCTCCACCCTCTCTAACTGCATGACATAGGGTAGGTTATGGGACTCTCTGCTTCAGTTTCCTCCTAGGTATAATGGAGGTGAAGCACCACCTTATAAGGGTGTTGTGAAGTTTATCATTAGGCATGGAGTAAGTGTTCTTAATTGTTTGCTGCTTTATAAATAGTATAATCATCATGGGGATTTTCTTAGCTCTTCCGGAGATGAGCTCTTCACCTTCATTGCTGCCTGCATGTCTGAAATGGCTTAGGTCATGCTGATTGAATCATTCATTCACTGAATTTATCAAATATTTACCAAGTGCTAACTATGTGCTATGCCCTGCGGTCATAGTGGTGTTGAATGTCTGAGAGATGTTCAATGGTCTTTTTATCCATTTCTTTGGCATTCTAGTGTGGCTTCCTGATTGTCTACACTTAGTGGTGCTGATGCAGACTAACTACTATCACCAACTGGGCACCTACCATAAACCAGGTAATTTATATACCCATTATCCAATTAGTTTCTTGTACCACCCTAAGTACTATGTATTGCTACCTTCATTTTCAGCCAAGAAAACTGAGGCACAGAGAGGTTAAGTAACTTGTTCACATTCCTACAATGAGATAGTGTCAGCCCCAGGAGTTGAACAGACATCTGTTTGAGTCCTAACTTCTCCACCCTGCTCTGGGAGGCCAAGAGAAGGTGGGAGACCTTCCTGCTCTGAAGGATCATCTTCCCAGGGCACAGCAAGACACTCCCTTAATTTTATCTCTGAGAAGCTCAAAACCCTTCAGCAGCTTCTATTCCCAGTTATCACACAAACCATCCTGTGACGAGGGGTGTCAGCAGCCAAGTCTTTTCATGGGGCTGTGTGTATTCATGTTTTCTTTGGAGGTGCTTCAAGGAAAATATTAGCCCATGAATTAAACAACTGTTCAGAGACATGATCCAAAGAGACACAAGCATTCCAGGAATCATGGAGAGTGAAAATGGCTCATGAGAGTCCAGGCGTCATCTCAGACCAGGGGACAAAGCAAATACCATGCCCATCCTTGAGCTCAGAAATAGCTGTTCTGGTAGCAGGTCATCTGGGGGAGTCTTATGACAAAGGAAGTCAGAGGATGTTCTTTTTTTTTTTTTCTCCCAGCATTATTAAGGTATAATTAACAAGTAAAAATTGTATATATTACAGTATACAGTGTGACGCCTTGAGGTATGTATACATTTGTGAACTGATTAAATCATTCTGATTTACTTAACCATCACCCCCACATACCTATCATTTTTTATAGTGAGAACATTTAAGATCTAATCTCTTAGCTATTTTTAAGTACACAATACATTATTATTAGCTATAATCACAATGCTGTTCAACAGATGTCCAGAACTTGTTCATCCTGTCTAATTGAAACTTTGTACCCATTACCCACCCTCTCTCCAATCCCCTCAGTCCCTGACAACCACCATTCTACTCTCTACTTCTGTAATTCAACTGTGTTAGATTTCACATATAAGTGAGATCATGCAGTATATGTCCTTCTGGTTTATTTCACTTAGCATAATGTCCTCCAGGTTCATCCATGTTGTTGCAAATGACATGATTTCCTTCTTTTTAAAGCCTGTCTTGGCTGTTCCAAATGATGCTGCAATGAACACGGGAATACAGATATCTTTTCAACATCCTGATTTTATTTCCTTTGGATACATACCCAGAAGTGAGATTGCTGCGTACTATGGTAGTTCTATCTTTTATTTTTTAAATATCGTTTTCCATTATAGCAATTTACATTCCCACTGATAGTCTACAAGAACTCCCTTTTCTCTACATCCTTACCAACACTTTCATTTTGTCTTTTTGATCATAGCCATCCTAACAGGTGTGAAGTGATGTCTCATTGTGGTTTTAATTTGCATTTCTCTGATGATTAATGGTGTTAAGCATGTTTTCCATATACCTGTGGCCATTTATATGTATTTTAAGAAATATCTATCCAAGTACTTTGCTTGTTTTTTAATTGGGTTATTACAGTTTTTGCTATTGAGTTGTTTGAATTCCTTGTATATTTTGGATATTAATCCCTTATCAGATGTATGGTTTGCAAATGTTTTCTCCCATTCTCTATGCTGTCTCTTTACTCTATTGATCATTTGCTGTGTAGAATTTTTTTAGTGTGTTGCAGTCCTTTTTGTCTATTTTTTGCTTCTGTTGTCTGTGCTTTTGAAGAATCATATCTTAAAAATTCATTGCCCAGACCAATGTCAAGAAGCTTTTCCCCTATTCTTCCTTCTAGTAGTTTCATAGTTTCAAGTTTTGTGTTTAAGTCCTTAATCCATTTTGAATGGATTTTTGTAGATGGTGTGAGATATGGGTCCAATTTCATTCTTCTGCATGGGGATATCCCACATGCAAAAGTTTTCCCACACCGGTCGTTGAAGGGACTGTCCTTTCCTCATTACAGGTTCTTGGCACCTTTGTTGAAGATCAATTGACTACAAATGCATGAATTTATTTCTGGGCTCTGTGTTTTGTTCAACTGCTCTGCAGGTCTGTTTTCATGCCTCTGCCATGAATGTTTGACTACTGCAGCTTTGTAGCAGATTTTGAAATTGATTCATGTGATGACTTCAACTTTGTTCTTTCCGCTCAAGATTGTTTTGGCTATTCAGGGTCTTTTGTGATCTCACATGGATCTTAAGATTTTTTAATTTTTGTGAAAAATGTCATTGGAATTTTGATAGAGATTACATAAATTTTTAGTTATTTTGAGTAAGCACAAACTTCTTAATAATATTAATTCTTCCAATCCATGAACATGAGACATATTTCCATTTATTTGTGTTTTCTTCAATTTTTCATCACTATCTTACAGTTTTCAGTGTACATGTCTTTCACCCCTTGATTGAATTTATTTCTAAGTTTTATATGTCTATAATATGTTTTTTATGTATATGAATATGCTATTGTAATTATAAATGGGATTTTTAAAATTTATTTTTTGGCTAGTTCATTGTTAATGTATAGAAACATTACTGATTTTTGGCCAGGCACAGTGACTCATGCCAATAATCCCAGCACTTTGGGAGGTAGGCAGATCACTTGAGGTCATGAATTTGAGACCATCCTAGGCAATATAGTGAAACCCCCTCTCTACTAAAAATACAAAAATGAGCTAGGTATTGGCCCACCCCTGTAATCCCAGCTACTTGAGAGGCTGAGACATGAGAATCTCTTGAGCCTGGAAGGTGGAGGGTGCAGTGAGCTGAGATCACGCCACTGCACTCCAGCTTGGGCAACAGAAGGAGACTCTGGAAAAAAAAGAAGGAAGGAAGGAAGGAAGGAAGGAAGGAAGGAAGGAAGGAAGGAAGGAAGGAAGGGGGAAAGAAAGGATGACTGATTTCTATATGTTGATTTTGTATACTGCAACTTTACTGAATCTATTAGTTCTAATAGTTTTTGTGAAGTGTTCAGGGTTTTTTAATAGATGACATCACCTTCAAACACAGACAGTTTTGCTTCTTCCTTTCCAATTTGGATGCCTTTTATTTTTTCCTTTCCCAATTGCTCTGGCTAGGACTTCCAGTACTTAACTGAATAGAAGTGATGAGAGTGGTTGTCCTTCTCTTATTTCCAATCTTAGAGGAAAAGTTTTCAACTTTTTACTATTGAGTATAATAGCCATGGGCTTGTCACATAGAGCATTTACTATGTTGAGGTACATTTTTTCTATGTATACTTTGTTGAGAGTTTTAATCATGAAAAGATGCCAAATTTTGTCAAATTATTTTTCCGCATCTACTGACCTGCAGAAAATCACGTTTTTATCCTTCATTCTGTGAATGCGGTGTATTGTATTTATTAGTTTGTGTATGTTAATCCATCATTACATTCCAAGGATATATACCACTTGATTATGGTGTATGATCCTTTAACATGCTGTTGAATTTCGTTTGCTAGTATTTTATTGAGGATTTTTGTTTCTATGTACAGCAGAGATATTGGCCTGTAATTTTCTTTTCCTGTAGTATCCTTGTCTGGCTTGATATTAGAGTACCAAACCAAATCAGCTCAGGCACAGACAAAGAGCACGGAACTCTGGCCTAGGAACCACAATGCTTGCCTCTACCCAGCTGGTAGAGGCCTCTACTCACTTTTGAAAATGCACTTGCCTTTGTCATATACAGAAGGACCACATGTAACATCCCTTCCCATTAGTTCTCTTCAGTCCATCAGCTCACATGCAATGAGCTGAAGTTCTAAGGAACCCAGCACAGTCTAAGTGTTTCTGGGGGACACAGTCTAAGGGTTTATGGGGGTCACTGTGGGAGCTCGTAACCTGCAAGGCGAACTAACTTGTCTATTCTCTTTATCCTTTGCACATTGGACTATGTCAATGACATCTGTCACCTAATTCTCAAAATGTAACCAGTGTTGAAAAAGTGCCTGTCCTTTAAACCAGCAAATCTAATTTCAATAATTTAGCTTAAGGAAATCATTAAAAAAAAACATGAGCCAATTTAGCTAAAAGAAGTTCAGATATTTTTTGTTTTTATTTTGTAATAGTAGCAAAGGATTGGAAACTAACCAGATAACCAATGATAAGAGACAGGTTATTAAAAGATGGATGTACCACACAATGGAATGACATTTGGCCATTAAGGCAATTTTGTAAAAGTATATGTATTAGAAGGAAAATATTGATTTATTAGGTGAAAGGAATAGTTATAAGATATGCTATAAGCATACTGTGTAATCTGTCTGTGTGTCTGCATGTACCCACATGTGTGTACACATCTCTTTGCATATTGATATCTACATATGACATAGTGCTTTGTTTTTCATTATCTTTGTAAGAGCTGTGCCAGGGTCCCCTTGTTCACCACTGGAATAAATCACCACTTCCAAGGATGCTAGAGGAGTCTTTTGTCTTTTAGAAGTTGTGTTGATGGAGGTTTGAAAGACAGGATAGCTTATCCCCACAAGATGATTCCATCTAAGTGGAGCCAGCACCCCTGACATGACACTTCTGGACTCTCTCCATTGTCTTCAGTGCCCCTGCCCTGGAGAGAGAGGTTATTCTGATTGTGAGTTTCGGAGGAGAAGCTGGACAGCCATATCTATCTGACCACAAAGGTTTGTCTTCATCTGTGATGTGGGGTGGTCACTAAAGGCAAGAGAAGCTTGCTGTAGTTAAATATCAAGGGTCAGACCTCTCCCCACTTAAGAATGGAAATTGGACCATTTCTGCACAAACTCAGGGTCAGTTCCTGGGCCATCCAGGGATCTGGAGTTACTCCAAGAAGGAGATGTCATTCTTCCTTTTAATTTAGGACCCACTCCTTGAAACTTTTTGCTGTCTACATGTACTTCCTTAATAATCTTATGGCTTTAAATACCAATATTTTGCTTCTGCAACTCAAATTTATATCTCTAGCCTCAGCCTCTTCCCAAACCCCAGACTGCCTTCTGACATCCAATTTGGCTATGTATCATCTCAAACTTAACATTTTAAAACCAACTTCTAATCTGTCTGCTCAAGCACCGCCCCCCCACCCACCCACCCACTGCCCGCCGGCTCCCACAGTCTTTCCCATCTCAGAAAACGACAGCTCCATTCCCTGGATGCCTCAGGGTAATCTTGGAGTCACCCCTGTCCTTTCTTTCCTGTCTCACATTTCTGCCACGAAATCCCATCAGTTCTACCTTCAAATATATCAATAGTCCATCTCATCTCAGCACCTGTAATGTCCTCCTGGTCCAAGTAACCATTGTCCCTCACCTGGATCATTGCAATGGCCTCATAAGGGGTCCCCCCGCTCCTGCCTTTTCCTTCCTGTAGTTTATTCTTAGGGTTAAGTCATGTTACTGCTCTGCTCTAATCCTCCAAGTTTCCCACCTTGATCAGAGAATAGTCAAATCCTTCTCCTAGCCCTCAGTGCCCTACACAGTCAGACTTGGTGATCTCCCTATCTCAACTCCAACTCTCTCCTACCACTGACACACTCTCTTCAGCTACCCTCATCTCCCTGTGTTTCTGCATGTGCTGTCCCCTCCACTGGGACCCTCTTCCCTCCATCTCCAGATGGTTCGATCCTTTCTCTCCTTCAGGTCATTGCTTTCAGACTTTTGCTGACCACTCATCTTAAACCGAAGCCTGCCCAACACTTCCAAAGCCCTTCTCCTGCTGTGATATTTCCATCGTGCTTATTCCCAGCTGTTTTACTATAGTTCTTACTCATTTGTTTATTGCCTGTCTCCCTCAACTAAAATAAAATGTCAGCTTGGCAAGGACAGGACTTTTTATTCATTTTCCCTGCTATATTCTCTGCAGCTGGAAGAGTACCTGAGGCAAAATAAGCACTCGATAAACACCTGCGGATTGGGTGAATGAATCTAAAAAGTGGATGACTGAGATAGTTTTAATTTGACTTGAAAAAATAAAAAAGCCTGACTACTATGCACACAAATGTCATAAAGGAGTTCACACCAAGTACACAGAAAAAATTATGGCTGCATTAACATTAAAATATTACAGTGGTTTTCACTCAGGGAGGAGCTACAATTGATTCTTTCTTTGTTTCTATCCATCTATTGTTTTTAATTAATGTACAATAAATATATTGTTTGTGTAATGAAGCAAAAGTAGAGGAATATTTTTTTAAACTGCTGCTTGCTGCAAACAAGGGGTTCCCCAATCCCCAGGCCACAGACTGAGGGCAGTCCACGGCCTGTTAGGAACCAGGCCACACAGCAGGAGGTGAGTGGTGGGTACTCGGGCATTACTTCCTGAGCTCTCCTCCTATAGATCAGCAGTGGCATTAGATTCTCATAGCAGCATGAACCCTGCGGTGAACTGCACATGCAAGGGATCTTGCTTGCACACTCCTCATGAGACTCTAATGCCTGATGATCTGATGTGGAACAGTTTCATCCCAAAACCATCCCCCCACCTCTCCCAACCCCCAGTCCATGGAAAAATTGTCTTCCATGAAACCGGTCCCTGGTGCCAAAAAGGTTGGGCACTGCTGCTGCAAACTACAAGGTTGTCAGAGGCAAGGACTGTGTGTAGGCATAGGGACACTTAAATCTGCAAAGCTGAAAATTTCCATAGCCTAAGATGTTTTATCTCTGGCAGGGTGCTGGTTCTCTACTCACAGAGTTGTTCTTTATACACCAACTGGAATAGCCTTGGATTGCACATGAGAAGGAAGCACCAGAGTGTGTGGACCAGTGTATCAGTAAGACAGTGCATCAAGAAAGGAAGACACACGAAGACGCAGGCAATCGATGCCGCCTAGCTTGGTATCCTGGCCAGCATAGCCCCGTGCATAAACAATCATCGCTTTCATGGAGCTTTGTGGCTGACAGAGGATCTTTACATGCATCAGTCCCCGCAACAGCTTTGTATATTGCCTTTTATTCCCTTCCTCAAGGAGTCTTGTAGAGGTCACATACTTTATCCAAGATCTCATAGCCAACGTCCTTCTGCCTGCGTTCCTACTGCAACACCACCTGCTTCCATGGTAAACACATTATCAGAGATAGCCAGGAAGAAACAAGCAGTTGGGTCAGCAGCCTTCCCTAAAAGGAATAGCATTTGGGGTGGGTCAAATAGCTAAACTTTTGGGGTGCTTAAGGGAGACTGAGGTGAAAAATTGCAGGAAGAGTTTGTCTAGGAAAGGTGATGCAATGACTCTATTATATTATCTTAGTGGCATGGGAGTTCCTCTTAGGGAGGGAACTATCTTTGTTTGGAAAAAAAGACCTTAGTATTAATAAATGCTTGGGATAGAAAATGAGGCCTTGAAGTTGAAGCTACTTTGCCATAAAGAATGGGGGCCTACTTTTGAACTTCTAAGGGAGTCTCTAGAGGGAGGCGAAAGGTGAGAAGAGGAAGGGGCAGGGAGAGGCAAAGGTGGAAAGAGACTAGAAGAAAGGTGGGGAGATGCTAATGGGGGACATTTTGTGGATATAAATCTTTTTCCCTCTAGTCCAGTGTTTTTGCTTGAGTTAGAAAGCTAGAGTTACCGAGGGCAAAGAATAACAAATTTGTTCCCTTCCTGATTTCCTGCCTTTCTTGGGGAAAAGACTTAATGGACCCTTTTTCTTTTGTTTTATAAACAGTGTCACATGACTAGTCACACGGAGACTCTGATCTTTTTTGCGCTCAGGGCAGATTTTCAGACATCAAAGAACCTGAAGAATTCAGTTCACCTGTTTAAGGTAGCATTGGGTTTATCTCTCAGTCTCCTGTGAGTTTGGTCAGCATGGGTTAGCTTCCTTTTGTGCTCCCTGTTTATCCTCATAGACTGGTATCTGCCAGCACTAGACATAAGCTAAGATTTTCCACTGTAAATGTCTTTCTCTTCTTAGGGTTGGGTGTGGGCATGAGATGACACAGATCTCTAGCCATAAGAGAAAGAACACAAGGTCCAGCTTTTTATATGGGGCATCCCCAGGAAGCAAGACCAGAGGCATCCTCCCCTCACCATTCTCATTTCACTCTCTCCTTGTCACCACCCACTGAAAGGAGCCTGAAGAAAGGCCTGTGCCCAGACCAGTAAAAAGCCCTACTCCAAAAGGAACTCTGGGACCATATCGGGGGAAATTACAGCACAGCTTTACAGCCTACCTAATGCTGTCATGGTCATTATAAGGCTCCATCCTGCAGTAACCCTTAATTAGCCAAGGAAGTTCTCATCATGTGAAGAGATCACAGAGGTTCAGAAACTTGGTCAAGAGCATCAACTACAAGGCAGAGTCAGGAGTTGAACCCCGGTTTTATGGGTAGAATAGGGGCTTTCCAAGCCTTGGCATTTTCTTTTTTCCTTTTTTAGCACCATCTATCTCTGTGGATGCTCCAAGTGCTGGTTACTCTCCCTTTGCCCCTGACTCCTGAGCTCTGATCTTCGCTTCTTTGCCCTGCTCAGTGCCCAGCTGGCTGGTTTCCTGGTGGCCTTGGGGCTGGTGGCCTTCGCAGGGCTGGGGTGCTGACAGCGTGAGATCTGCAGCCACAGCGTCTTAGACTCCTTTTTTTGTGGAGATGGCAGGGGGGTGGTTGAGACAGGATTTCACTCCTTCCCAGGCTGGAGTGCAGTGGCATGATCTCAGCTCACTGCAACCTCTGCCTTCCAGGTTAAAGTGATTCTCTCACCTCAGTCTCCTGAGTAGCTGGGAATATAGACGCCTGCCACCACATCAGGCTAATTTTTGTATTTTTAATAGAGATGGGGTTTCACCATGTTAGCCAGGCTGGTCTCCAACTCCTGACCTCAGGTGATCTACCCACCTTGGCTTCCCAAAGTGCTGGGATTACAAGTGTGAGACACCACACCTAGCTTCCTTGGACTCCTTAGCACTGGTCCCTCCTTTGTCCTTTCAGGGTGGTTACTGCTTCCTGCCATTTCTAGTCCCTGGCCGACTCTGTCCTCAGGTTGGTTTCCTTCACCCTGCCCACCCCCTGTATAAGTCCCTTTCCTAAATTATCCTTCACTCTACCACTCTGAATGTATCCTCTGCTTCTGCAGGGCCTTTGGCTGATATAAACCCAGCATGACACATGGGCAAAAATGCAGCTGTCCTGGGATCCTCTGCCTTCTCCAGTGGCCCCTGGAACTGCAGAGAAATCTAAGTCCCAGAAGCACAGTTTGCAGCCACTGACCTGCCTGCTGGGCAGTAGAACCACTGTGCCACTGTCAGGGTGTCTACCAGCTCCGAGGTGCTGCCCTTCAGTGGAGCCCAAAGGGCTTGAGACCTGTGTACCTCCCTTTCCTCCTCCCTGTCTATTCTAAAGGTTTTGACACCACCAGCTCCAGAACTTTAGGAGCACATCCTACACACTCCCTAAGACAACTGCTCTTCCATGGTTTCATTTTCCTCTCACCCTCACACTTTTTCAACCTGCATAAGATCTAGGAGGAGCCAAGTTATGAGAAAAGAAGAGAGGTTTCAAGAAGTGAGCCTTGCCTTGCCATAAGTAGCTTGCCCTGCAGCTGCCCTGCGATGTTTGCTCCCCAGGCATAGGCAGGTGTGGGGGCTTCTGGGTGGTCCCCATGTGTCAGTCAGCACCCCAGGAGCAAATGCCTGCCATCCTGTTCCTCCCTCCAAGAAGTCTGAACACTTGCTCTGCTGAGTAGACGCCACTGATTCAGCCACTTGTACCCTGTTCTTTGCAGGAAGGCTCTGGATGTGTTTGCACACAAGTGTGTATGCTCTCAAACCCATAGACACACCCTAAGCAGAGGAGCCAAAGGGTAGCCCTCAGAAAATAAGAAGCCACTTTCTCAAAGTCTCATTCCTCCTCCTGCAGGCCAGGAGCATGAAGCATCTCAGGCTCAGGGTGCCTAGAACCTGAAAACACCAGGGAGGCTGGTCCCCCACCCTGGCCAAGGACACCAGCTTCACTTCCACGATAATCAGTATATCTGAGGGACAGCCTCACAGCAGGTGTCCCAGAATTGGGGGAAATTCCCTCAAAGAGAAGACGCCACCAACCAGCCAGTACATGTCCCCCACTGTTCTGCAAAGCTGCATTTCCCAGAACAAATCCACAAACTGGCATGTGAATTTGACCATCTGTTTCTAGTGATTTTGATTCCCATCAATCAGTCCCTCAAAGCCTTATTCAATAATAATAACTTCTTAAGAAGTGTTTGAATGTGTATCCATGCATGCATTCATTCTGCACTGAATTGCTTACTATTATGAGGCACACGGCACAACCTGAGAGGCAGAGATTGACGAGCAAAAACAGCCCTAGCTCACCAGAAGCTGACTGTCTGGGGGATGGCACAGGACACCGCACAGGCCTCTCAAACAAGCCCAGTGCAGGGAGGGAGGTGCTGAGAGGTCCTGATCCTTGTAGTTGTGTGTCTGCACATGTGAACATGGAGCTTCCTGAGGAGTCCGCCTGCCCCTCCACGTGCCCATCTCCAGCTCTGTCTCCCATGACAGCTTGTCCCCACATTCCAATCTCCCCCACTACGCACACATTTTGTTCTTCTCTCTCCTCTCAGCCCACCCATCTTTCCCTACATTATTCCATCCTTCCAAACCAACAGGAATTCTCCCCTGTTGGAGGCAAGAAGGAGACAGCCATCCCAAAAGACAAGGAACCAAACTAGAATGAAACCAGAATCATGTCAAATAATTCCCAGGGGAGGGAGAAAGGCCACAGATGATAATGAAATGTTGCTTGCTGCCATGACAACCACAGTAATTCAGCCACAGTACCAAGGCTTTGGAGGCAACAATAACAATTGAATGTTTATTTCCCCAGCACGATGAGCATCCCCAAGGAAGCAGAAAAGGAGATATCTTGGGGACTCCACCTGTCACCTGCCGGGCAACTGGAGTGCCTGGCAAGGACTGGTTCTTCTTTTTCCAATCTGCCATTAACTATGGCAGCACTTTCAACTTTTTCAACACAGAAAAAGTTGAAGATGATACTCTTCATCTGTATCAACCAGTTTGGTTATGGGCATGGGGAGTCCACTGGGAGTCCTCCCAGGTGAGGAGGCTGGGCCACAGGCTGGGGTGAGTGGCCTCTGCCTCAAGGCAGAGGCAGAGCCACAGCCAGCATTAGGGTGACTTCAGGGCCCATGAATGCTCCATGCAAACAAATCATCCAAATTATGTCTGGGGAGGAGAAGATGGGAGATTGAAACCTACTTAACAAAACAAGAATCAACCTCAATGTTAAGAAGAAAGCCTAAAACCAACAATGGGGAGCAGAATAATTAGCAGGGACCCTGTAGCTGCTATAGCTGAAGATTTACCAGAATGGCAAGCTAAGCAAAGGTGATGGGGGGATTGGAGGGGTGGAATCATTAGCATTTCCATCATAGGCACTTTGTGAATACGAACACTAATGCTCTATTACGGCTTTCCTCAAGCTATGTTGTGAGCAAAACCAGCTGACCTCAGAGTCTCAGGACTGCGCTGTTTCTGAGGGAGGCAACTGCCATCTCCAGGGAAGCTGCCACCTCCTTCAAGGCCATCGGCAGGGGGTGGGCGCATAGCAGGAAAATCAGGTGATGGAGGCATCTGACAGACTGCCTGATCTTCCATTGCTTCTGCACAGAGTGATGGTGAGGCTGAAGAGTGAATCAGCACTCTCTTCAACCCCTACTCTCCCTTCCCTTGCCATTATGCAGCCTTCAAGGGTCTCTGCACTTCAATAATAATATTGCCAAGCGCCAGAAATCTCAAACTGCGTGCAATATTAGTGGAAGTATGAAAGTGTTGCCTGGTGTGTGTGGCTGTCGTAAGCAAACTCCTTTAAGAGCGTCCATCTGCGCTGGGGCATTTCGGAGCGGAAAGAGCTTGTTAGAAATAGATTGTGCTGCCGCTGCCCATTCTATAAAATACGTGCATGGTTCAGAGCCAGACGGGCATTTGTGAATCCTGCTCCTCTATTGGTTAAAAGAAACTCCATGCTTGATTTGTGTATGGATCAAAGCAACGCTACTTATCTCTACTGGATATTTCCTTCACACTTACTGGTATTGTTCAGCAGGGAAAGGTGAAACAAAGCCTGGATTTAATCACAGACAGGAGCTTCAAAGTCACAACATCAAGGAAACAGATCAAAACTTCAAAAACAGCTCTGATCTAAGTTCTCAAACGTTTCATATTTTCAAAAAATCATAAAAAAGGATGAATTATCCAAAAGGAATAAATCTACTTTTATTTCCATTTAAATGCCTCAAAGCAAAAGGTCCAAGGGTTCTGACTCTTTACTCACTGCTATCAGGCAGACTGAGAGCCCCTCATATTCTCCCCCTCCTATTCCTCTGTTTTGGGGTAAAAGTCTGCTTGCCAAGCTGGTGGGGGCTGGCACTGCATTTATCAATGTGACAGTTACCACAGCATGGTTATTGCTTCAGAATACAAGAGGTTGAACATTTACGTCCAAATGTCTCACAGATTTGCCACACCACCACATAGATCTAAAAACAAACAAATACTAAAAAAACTGTCTTTAAAACAAATGTCATTGGAAAAGTGTGGCAGGCTCTTTAAAAGTT